CTCCCGTCCTCACCCCTCGCTGCACGCGCACACGTGCAATATTCTACATGTAGACACATGAAAACTCAACAACGACGGCAGCGATTTGCTGTCACGCCGCTGCACAAAGGCTCGAGCTTGCAGAGAGATGGGGGAGAAAAGCTCTCTCTCTCTCTCTGTACTTGAGCCTCGTCGTTGTTTTCACTCGTTAACCTCGCGACTTAGCGCCTCCTCGGGCTCGGTGATTATTCATCGGTGCACCAGCGAACGTGTACACGCACGGAGTATAAGTGGAGATACAGCTACGAAAACACACCACTGTCTGCACGTTGGTTAGGACAGGGGTGTATAGACACATCGGGTATAGGCACGAAAGCTCGACGCGTGCACCCGCATAAGGAGACAAGGATCCGCGTACGTGATAAAACACTCGCTTGTGAGGCAGGTGGGGTCAAATATTGCTGATCTTTCTCTTCGATACTGGCTGCGTGCAAGTATCATCTGCTAGCTGGCTTTTGTCAATGGTTCGATCGGGGACTGTCGTTACCACTATGGGTATATACTTGTACGCGTGTGTGAACTTGAGTTTTATCGCTGACAAATGGATTTCCCCGTCTTTCGTTTCCCGCATTGGTCATAGCTTGCCTCCACGACTGGTTGAGCGTTTTGTTGGAGAGTGCAGATGCATCGACGTCGGGAGTGTGTCAATATTGGGTGACATCCGATGTTCCGCTCGTCTCCGCGTTTTGCCCGAGGAAACGAGGTATATTAAATTTTTCTTTTTTTTTTCCTCGTGAATTTCACAACACGTGTGGAAGGGGAGGAGCGGATCTGTGGAGCTGGAAACTGCGGAGGATTAAAAGTGGTCGCTTGTAAGGGCGGTTATTTTCCGCTCCTGTACATCCTGCCGCGATATTGCGCGGGTGGGCGTACTAGGATTCGCCGGACCGCGAGCTCGTTACAAAGTCCAAATTCGTTTGGGGGAGGGAAAAAAATACGCGCGATTTGAATATTATTCCGGATTTTTTGGGGGGTAAAAAGTGCCCGGCACGAGCTGTTTTTATATCATCCATGCAGGGATATACCGAATCGTAAAGGGAAAATGGGTACTTGGCGTCCGTTTGAAAGAAAATTCGTTTCCTCATCAAAATTCACGCCCAAAGTCCTGTTTCCTAACACCGTCTCAAAGCTCCCCCGGCGCGTCTGACCCAATTTCCCCCCCTGGTGGAATTTCATCCCAGTCCAAACAAAAAAGTAAATTTTTTGAGGGCATTGCGCCCTTTTCCCCCCCCTAATTATCCAACTTACGGCCCTTTTTTTTCTACAACAATGACTTTGGCGGGTCTCGTGCCAAATTGCTCCTCTCGGTACGGTCCAATTAACCTTCATGTCTAATTGAAATTTGCTTTCTCTCGCTCAACAGCGATGGGCGTGTGTGCGCCTGTACAGCCTGGATAATTACAAACAACCCCTCACCGAACTTTTTACACGTACCTTTTTTTTTTTTTTTTTTTTTTTTCAATCGATGTACCTGATGAACAAGCAATGGTGCAATATATATGTCGATTAGTGTATGGAATAATTAAAACACCGACTCACGTCCCGGTAAGGAAAAAAAAAAAAAAAAAAAAGACTACGCCAATGGAAAAGTCAAAAAGTCAACAAGAAAGAGTCACCCGATCGGTGGATGAGTCAGAGCGTCGCTCTCGCGGGCACATAAGATTTTCCACACCCCCCCCCTCCCCCGAGCAATATTCTTCGGATGTCGCAGGTGCCTGTCAATTTTACAAAATCAGTCAGCCACGTGCACACCGCACCATGTACTCGCACCCCGCCCTCTCGTACGTGTACCTGTACACCCAAAATTGCACCCTCAAACGCACAGTTCTCTCAAATCACGATGTGAAAAAAAAAAAAAAAAAAAAACACGTCACCCAACAAGCAGCCTCCTCCTTTCGTTTCTCGCGAGTTTTTCCATCAAAAATGAAGGCAAAGAGAATATACGCGCGCACAGTCTCGCAAGGCGCGGTAAATAGCATACAGAGAGTGGAAATGTTTTTCCTCCGCTGCCACTTTATACATTTAGGCACGCCACGGAAGAGCAAGATATATACTGCGTGTACACGTGTATACATGTTGTATTATGCACACATACAATAACGAGCGACGCTTTCCGCTTAATATATGGAAACCATTTGGCTGGTGTGGCAAAAAAAAGGGGGGGGGTTGGGGGGTGTAGAGGATGTAATTCAGTTGGCGGCGTTTTATACGCGTTTTATTCCCGTGACGTGCGGTGGGAAGTTTGTTCGATGCAAAACAGCATCAGCAGCTGTACGCCCGGAGCTCCCTAAGTGATTGGAATTTTCGTGTACGCGTGCACCCGGGGAAGACACGTGAAACGAAGCTCCTTGCAACCGAGGTAGTTTGATTTAGTAATTTCTTCATTATTTTCACGAGGAGGTTCAATTTTGAAAATTCTACTGTACGAAAAAAAAAAAAAAAAAAAAGGACGTGTATCCTTGCCGGGGATGATTTAATCAAAGAGTCGAGGGGCGATTAAGCCGAGGCTCGGGCTACAGATTTGCGTGAACAATGTTTGAATATTGTATGCGCGGCAGAGGTGGGGCCGTTAAGGATGATTTATTGCTCGTGTGGTGGTTGCGCGAGTGTACCTTTGGGCTGTTTGCCTTTCTCGGGGAGTATGGTTAATACGGTAGGGCTATTAAGTCGCGAATTAAGGGACGTGACGGCGAGACTGACAAATGTATAGACATGATGATAACAGCGTCAATGGGAAATTTGGTAAAAGTGAGGGGGTTGTTCACTTGGTGGCTCGTGTGTTTTATTGTTATTTTCTCAAGTCCCAAAAGTTTCACGCCTTCCATCACTTTCGAAGGTTATATATTTGATACTCGTATTAAGAGGTGACCGATCTACACTTTTAAAGTTGTATACAAAGTTGCGGGCATCAGTTTAATGTTTAATGTCGTTTAACCACAGTGCAGCAGGCTGTCATTACATATAGCAGTAAGAGTATAGTCGCGATACCTATATATATGTATATGTGTATGTACGTGCAGAGCGCCAATGAATTATTCATTAACTCGATGGCGTAATGCACGTCATTTGTGCACTTTGTCGCAAGTGCACAATGTTATTTATTAATATATATATGTATATATATTTTTATTGCATTATATGTCT